TATTCTACTATTTTGATTTGTATAAATTGAAAATAAAAAGAAAGCAATCGAAGTATGTATGAGATGGTGTTTTTGACGGTGGTGCAACGAAGTGTCACCGTCATGTTAGCCTGAGGCCTTAAGTCTCGTACCGACTTTAACGATCCACCGAAAAGTTTAACCATTCTTATTACGCCACGTGTCTCACTAGAATAATCCAGCCTTCTCTAGCCATTCAGCGGATGCCAGGTAAGCAATATCCCAAAGCCACCAGCCGGACAAAAAGGAGAAGATTACACTCCAGAGTGGCAAAAGCTTCTTCTTCTTTCTTTTTAATTTTTGTTTAATTTAAAAATACAACTCCGAAGATATGGCACTCCATTTAAAGAACAAAAGTCCTTCTAATTAATTGTAGGTTTTTACATTCCTAATCGTAGTTGTTTTTTTTTTAATTTAATATCCAGCTAATATGGAGTAATGTTTTAGGTGACTACCGAAAAGTGTGTATACATAGAATCAACTTGAAAGTCGTAAACAACTTCTCGATGTAATTAATAATTAATAAGCTTTGAAGAGTTCCCAATCGATTGGTGGAGACTTCGTCTTCTTCGTATGAAAATTTCAAGGGCAATTTAAGAGAATGCAAGTGGATAATAAGTAAACTATCGAAGCAACACGAAAAGAAAAAAAGTAGGGGTAACAAAAAATGGTTATATCAATTACTAGCACCCACGAAAAAGTTATAGGATCGGTAACTTATGACATAAATTTGTAGTATCTTTTAGTAAACAAACTCGAAAGTGTTTTAAGTCAATGACGAATAGTAAATATTATATACTCCGTTTTAAGCTATTTCTCAACATAGGTATGGCAATTTCTAACTAAAAACACTGCGTTGACTTGGTAAAATTAAAATTCCTATAATATTCCAAAATTAATGACAACATAATTTACATACGCCATAAAATAAAGGAATTTAATGGATGAAGAAAGCAAGAGCAGCACCACTTGATCACTCATAGCCCACGTTCCCACTCTCAATTCCTTCTAAAGATTTCTAACACAAACAAAAATATTTTTATATATATACAAATCAAAAACACAAACACAAGACGTGCTCACAATACATCACACACTTCACTCTTTCTCCTTCCCTTCAAATATCTCAAGATCACATCTCATATTAAAATGGCTCTCGAGACTCTTAATTCTCCGACTTCAGCCACCGCGACGGCTCGGCCTCTTCTCCGATACCGTGAAGAAATGGAGCCGGAGAATCTCGAGCAGTGGGCCAAAAGAAAACGTACAAAACGTCAACGTTTTGATCAGAATCAAGAAACCAACACTAACACTAACACTCCATCCGAAGAAGAGTATCTCGCTCTTTGTCTCCTCATGCTCGCTCGTGGCTCCTCCGCCGTACAACCACCACTTCCGCCTTCACGCCCTTCACCGTCCGATCACCGGGACTACAAGTGTACGGTCTGTGGAAAGTCGTTTTCTTCTTACCAAGCACTAGGTGGACACAAGACGAGTCACCGGAAACCGACTACTCCCGGTCCCGGTAACCACCACCAAGAGCCGTCTAATAACAGTGCAAACAGTAACGGCGGTTCCGTTGTTATTAACGGTAACGGTAATTCTAGTAATAACGGTGGCGTTAGTCAAACCGGGAAGATTCATACTTGTTCTATATGCTTCAAGTCGTTTTCGTCTGGTCAAGCCTTAGGTGGACACAAACGGTGTCACTATGACGGTGGTAA